TTCTTTTGTGTCTGAAACTCATTTTCGACCCTTGTTTTAATTGTCTCTCCTAGCAATTTCACCATCTGTTTATAGCTGGCTGATGTATCTTTCTGTCTCTTTGCTGAGCGAACTGACATTTATGTTTGTCATGGTTTAACCCCAGCTGGCAACGAAGCCCCACACAGTCGCTCGCTCACTTCCCCCATGATGGGATGGGGGAGAGAATCGGAAGGGTAAAAGTGAGAAGACTCATGGGTTGAGATAAAGACAGTTTAATAAGTAAAGCAAAAGCAGTGCATGCAAGCAAAGCAAAACAAGTAGTTCATTCACTACTTCCCATCAGCAGGCAGGTGTTCCAGGGCTCCATCACACCTAATGGTTACTTGGGAAGACAAATGCCATCACTCCGAATGTCCCCCCGCTTCCTTCTTCCCCCAGCTCTATATGCTGAGCATGACGCCATGTAGTATGGAATATCCCTTTGGTCAGTTGGGGTCAGCTTCCCAGCTTTGTCCCCTCCCAACTTCTTGTGCACCCCCAGCCTGCTCGCTGGTGGGGGAGGGGGGGTGGTGAGGAGCAGAAAAGTCCTGGACTGTGTGAGCATGGCTCTGCAGCATCTAAAACATCCCCGTGTTATCAGCTCTGTTTCCAGCGCAGATCTACAACCTAGCCCCATATGAGCTCCTATGAAGAAAATGAACTCTGTCCCAGCCAAAGCCAGCACAATGTTCTTCGGGTGTTAATGGCAGAGAGACACTGAGCAGCTTGCCTGTCCTAGTCCTGCATTTTGGTAGACTCTGTTGTGTCATCCTCTCTTATGAAGGGCTCTTCTCAGGTGAAGATCTCTTCTACAGACAAGCCTGATCGCTGTCCACATGCCCAGGCTGGTCCGCACAGAGCAGGACTTTGCCATTGGGTCACCACAGGCACTTTTCTCCTCTTTCTGGAGGCAGAAAATTGAAGTCTAGCAGTCTTCCCAGATCAACATAAATCTTTCCCTTTCAGCAAATCTCAGTAGCCTTCCTTTTAGGTCATCTTATTTTGATACAAAGATGAAGGAGGGCTTTTTGCTTCTCCATCAAGAAGTCCTAACCTGGAGTCCTTTAACAGCTCTAGTTTGTAAGCTAGACTCTGTAGTTATAGCTAGAATTATATTAGCTGAAATCTCTTTTTCTTCCTCGTGTTTTCTATACTGGCTTTGCCACCTTCACGTTGGGAAGAGCAGTCCCTGCTCTAGAGACAGTTTCAGTGTGAGAATGGCTGGTAAAATGCTGATGTAATTTCTCAGAAAAGAGAGAAAAATAAACACTGGAACGTATCTGTGAATTTCTTTCGTTACAGGAACAATCAGGCAATGAAGTAATACAACAAGCATAATTCTTTTGGGCATCCTTGAAACTCTCAGTGATACATTTAATTTAGAACCATTAGAGTGCCATTACATGCTAAATACTTTCTGATACCTAAAAGCATAGAGTATTGTGCATTAAGATTTAACAATCATCTCACACAATAGGTAATTATCTTCCCAGTATTATTTTTATTTTTAATCTTAAATAATTTCCCATAATGACATTTCTCCCAATAGCTGCCTGCTAAATTTAGAAAGAATTATACATCTTGGGCATAAGTATATACCTGTGTTGCTAACCAGTACTGTAGGTTCATAAACTATCAGAGGAAAACTTAAACAAGCCGTACTGACCTTAAAGTGCCATCCTATGTAATATTTATCTATCAAAGTGGTGTACATACATTGAGCTAGAAGGCAGCTTTAGGCACTTGTCCATGCGGAGACATAAAAAGTCTCCATGAACCCTTGAGTGAGCTGCCCAGACCTTGGCTCCGCACCCACTGGCTTACCTGTGTGATGGATGGTGGCGTTTTGTGCCGGTCAAATAGCAAGGTGGGAGTGGGAAGGGTTTTGTCTGAGTCACACAGCTGCTGCAGTGGTTTTACTATCATTTTTTATTTCTTTTGCATCATCTAACCTATTGGTAACAACCCACTGAGATCTGACATCAAATAATTGTCTTCACAGAATACACTTTCATAAATCCTTCTTTCATCGGTCTAAAATAGAACACACATTTCCTGCTGTATGTGTTGCTAAAAATAAGCAATCGGGGAGTAAATGCGAATGACTTAGAAATCAAAGAAGCTTTTAGATTGCTGCTCTCTCAGAGGGGGAGCAGAGTCAACTGATACAATCAGAACCGTGGGGAGGAGGATGCGTTTGTAACAGTAACACACCTCTGCCCGTTCTAGCCAGAGCTGCCGAAGCTTTTTCTATCACTTAAAAGTATTAGGATGTGAATCACAAGCGCATAGCAATTTTTTATTAGATTTGTCTTTGTTCACGTCCTCTCCCTGTGAAAACCGTCAACGCACAATTCTCTGACAGAATGTCACTGTAGATACGTTGGAGAAGAGCAAATGTAATGGTGCCGATGCAGAAGATATTATTTCAGCCCAAAGAAAATTACACATCTTCATTCCAGCTGACAACCTAAACAATGCCATGCTTGAAACATAAATGATACACTGTTTAGCTGGAAAAGCCATTAGGCATATGATGGAGAGTGGAAGTGAGCTAACTGCCTTCCCAGAACAAATAGCACTTTGCATTTTACATAAGCAAGTTGTCAGGTTTTTAAAAATTTACTTCCAGAATTTTGCTTTTTGAATAGAAAAAAAAAAAAATCAATAGCAAGAATGGATGCCTGACATCACTCCACGCCGTGAAGCTTGTTCTTCTTCCCACTGTTACATCTTCAAAGCAGGAAACACACTGACGAATCTGCCCAAGAAATGGCATTTCCAGCTACTTCTCGGCAGCCTGGGAAGTCTCAGGTATTCCAGCACTTTTCTCACTGCTTGTCCAGCTTTTATCCAAATCCTTGTTGCTCCTAATCAATCATTTAATAATGTTATGAGGGCATTTAGCAGAAACTTTAGAAAATCAAGGTACATTTTGTCTTTTATCACAATTTAAATAAAACAATTATGGTATGCACAAGATAAGGCCATGTTGCTCGCCTATTGATTCTCTTTTGCTGCCTTTTTATTAAAATAGAGTTGGGAGGACTTTCAACAGGTCTTCCAGTCCATCCTTTGCCCTAAGGCAAAATCAGTTTTACTTATACCAATTCTAGCAGATATTTGTCTTATCACCATGAGTGTTTTTTTAAGACCTGCAATGCTGGCAATTCTGTGTGCACTCTGGACCACTTATTCCTTAAAATTAGAATTCGTTACCTAATGTCTAGTCTAAATTTAAGCCTACTACCTTCTGTCCTATAAAGTGTATGCAGAAAGAATTACTGCACAAAGGAGGACAGAGGGTCAGAGGGTGGTAGAGAAGGAAACAGGGTCAGACTATCCATCCACCTAGACTTGCTGATATCACAGCAGAGACAAACTGATACAAAAGGGACTCAGGGGAGGACTAAAGCTCCAGTTCCTCCAAAGCCACCGCAGCCTCCTTCCTTACCCTCACAGACCCCTCCTGGGGTGTGCAGCAGCCAGATGAGGGCTGCAAGGGGAGTGAGGCACAGCTTTAGCACGCAGCACCATGGCAGAGCATGTCCTGCTTCTCATTGCGAAGCAGGGAAAACTTGTATTCAGCAGCAGATTGTGGAACAAAGAGTTTACTAATGAAAATAAAGAATACAAGTAGAGAATGATAGTTCAAGGGTCCAACGTATCGAACTGTGTTTTATATTCTATTTCTCTCTCATTGAAAACAATTTCAAGTTATAAACAAGTGGGTGCAAGGTGGAACTTGTTTGCATGTTTTTAATGCTTACGTTTCTCCCAGAAAGCCAAGGAACTGAAGGTGATCTGTCTAATTTCAAGTAGGCTGGCTGTAGCTACTGTACACTGAAATATTCATTTTTTTCCACTAATTGCTGTGTGGGAGTTATTCACAGAATGAAAGAACCTTTTGTATTTGGTATCATACATACCAGCTCTAAGACATCGCTCCATTCTATCTTTTTTACTTCTCTGTCACTGGTACAGGTTAGTATTTTACTGTATTAGCAATTATCATACTTGAATGATACAGAGAAAGGCATTTAAAACTGAAACTAGGATTTGGTTGAGCACACAAGTTACCGATTCAAACACATTTGTTGAAACAAAGTCCCTCTTCAATAGGAGAGGAAACTTAAGTCTCTCTTGTGATGTTATGAAATGGAATTTACCTCCTGCTATATTCACAGCAAAGTATTATTAAAGGGTGAACATCTTAATCACCACCTCCAAAGACAGTAGAATTTTATCTGCTGTGGTCTGTATTTTTTGCAGGAGGTCTGATTTGAAACCCTTATTGTACACATGGATACCCATTAGAGGTGGGAATTGCAGGTTTTCTTGTTTCCACATTCCATTTGAAGGTACTGGGCAACATTTTGAAACATTTAAACACACATCTACATCTCTTTAGAGATCTAAATCCAAGTCAGCAGTGCCAGCATGTCTGAAAATAAAAACATGCAACTGAAAGAAACATCTTGGAAAGCTGAGTCCAATTTCTTAATGCATAAGTTGATAAAAGTCCGTCTCAGAAAAAGTAAGGAAAGATACTGATTGAGGAGCCTGGGCATCCATGCCTGAGACAGTCAGCTCGCAGGCTCAGAAATAGGACTTGAAACTCAATATTATGGATATTGGGCTCTGAGGATAAGTATCAGATGAAGAAGGGAACAGAGGGATGGCAGGAGGGTGTAAAGAGAAAAAAAAAATAGAACAGACTATGAGAAGGGCTAATGATGAAGAAGAGAATGTTTCGGTCTCTGTTTAACATGAGGGCTAATCTTGGAAACACAGAGCGACCAAATCCGTATGTGGTCAGTACTGCCACTCCACTAAAGCCTAGAGTTGAATCATGGAATGTTTTAGCTCTGTTCAGAGCAATAATTGCACATTAGAAGTAATTATTTAAATCAATGTTTATTTCTACATGCCACAAAAGAGAACCATCGTTAGATAAACAGAAGAAAGCAAATTCAGTATCAGTGAAAAAATCTTGCTTTCTCTGGACAGTACAGCCCTGTATCCGTGGGTAGTATTCTTCGTGAACAAGGATGTTTGGTCTCATCATCTTCTGGAGGTACAGCACTGGGGTTGTAATGAACTTCAGCTATGGAAAAGAATTAGGGAAAATTTTCCGTTATAATAATTTGGTTTAATATATTTAGAAAGAAACCCGTTGATAGAGAACTCACTGACTTAATGTCTTTGGGGAAATAACAGAAATCAGCATGTTTCCAAAAACA